AGCAACTCAAACTTTTGTATACTTACCACTTGGGTTTGAAATTTTTTTTTTTTTTTATTTGGTTTCTTTTTTTTTGATATGTATATGGTCGATGGTCGAGAGAAAATAAATTGATCAAAAATGTGAAGCGTAAAATAAAAATATTTGAAAATTCATTCAGGAGGGGATAAATTTTCGATATCGAATTGCAGTCAACATTGACACAAAACTTGGTACATTTAAATGATTAAAGTCAATACGTCAATACATTTACTTAGCGATGAAAAAAGCGCACTACTATTCATTCATTCATATAGGGTATAGAAAAGATGAAAAGCTATTCAAATGTGAGGAATCTGAAGTTGCCAGAGCTATCGGAAATGTAGAATATTATGTAATAAATAAGGCATTGAAACTCATAGGAAAGATGTCAAGTTCTTGAAATTTAGTTGAGAAACTTAACAAGCATTGTGAATGTGGGTAAAGAGAGGAAATTTGTTGAATTGTATATTTGTGCGTCTAGTACCCAATACAAAGTGTATTTGTGTATCTAGTATCTAATGAACAATGCATGCGTATGTCTGGCTGTTTGAATAAAATACACCGTGACATATTTTAAATTGAAGATGAATATACATTCCACTAAAGCTAACCAAACCAAAATAATTAATTAGATTTCCAAAGGAATGGGTCTTTTAGAGAAGGCTTTAAGCAAAACCAAAGCAAGATTAGATAGCCATACTACTACAATATAGAGTTTACACTTATACTAAGCGTAAACGTCAATGTGTTTGTGACGTTATTAGATAACTAAATCGAATGCGGGCTTAACAGACCTAGTTGAATCTGTCTATTCCTTTATTAATTTATCCGTCAACTTATCAATTGTTTTCTCATATTGATACCATACATTAGTTCTTCTACAGGGTACACTAAGTTTGTACGAGTATATGTAACACCCAGATGGGCTTAAGATATACCAGGCTTTTGTTATCGATTCAAAATCAATTTCTCAATCGACCTAAACTTGTTCGTCCGTCTTCTCGTGTTCAAGCTACAATGATGTGTTCTGATTCACGGATGAATCTTACCGATTTGGGATGTTTCTACAAAAACTTAACCTTCATATGAAAAACTCCTGGGGTGAGGAGGAGGGGGGGGGGGGGGGGGTGACGGGACTGCCGACAAGGCAAAGGGTCTCGACTGACAAGTAAATGGTCGTGAGTTCAAATCTCAAGGGGTTAGAGTTTTCAATAAAGGCGATAACGCTTAGATGATAGTGTTTTAGAACTAGAATAGAATTTCTTTGTAAGAGTAAGGTTAGTAAGGTTAGCAATCATAACATTCACATGGTAAAAAGGTTTACATCTATCTCTTGGATCCCTTCCCGTATAAGGTTTCTCATGAATAGTAAGCCCGTCAGGGAAAAGGTGTAAGGAGTATCATGAGAATTGCTCATGAGAATTGGTCTACTATTAAAATTAACAGCATGGAATTTGGATTACATAGGTTTCCTTAGCAGATCCCATGTGTAGGAAAAAGTAAAGTTATAAAGGCGACAAAGTCTAATTGGTAGTTTTTTACGTCCAAAACAGCCGAAAAATAATAAAATTAAATTATTAAACTTTGGGTCAGGTCAGTTTGAACGCTATCCAATACGAGAATTTTTGCAAATAGTATGCCTTTTCTATTATCACGAAATGAATAAATGTCAGCATTAAGGGGGGCGTTATAGAGCGACGGTTTTGTTTGGCCCTTACGTGAAGTTCTTATTATTATTTTTCATCAAGCAGGAGCGAACAGAATTATTGAAAATAGAATATGGGATAATTGATTTAGAAACTTAAGTCCTTTCCAATGCGCGAACTGCTTAGCAAATTATGTGCATAATCATTGTAATTAAAACATTGTTTGCTATATGAATTTTGGATTTAATTTCTCTAACCTTATGTATAGGGCTCGCATAAAATATTTGGCCCACGTAGAACGGCTTGTCGGCTCAGCCATTTTGTTTTCCGTACAGTACTAAGCGATGAGAACAAAAGCCAAAGTGTGGAGCTTGGGTCCTTATTGTTTAAATGGTGGTACACGTGCACAAAGACGGTTTCAAAATTTTCTAAAAGATCAAGTGGTGATTTCTATATAGTCTATTCTATATATTCATACATTGTTTTTTTCATTTATACTACCAAAACAAAAGCCAAGATTGAATTATCCAACGCCCAAACACACAAAGGCATCTTTAAAATTGATCTAAAAAAAGTCTTTGGTTTATTAATTTTTTTTCTGAGCGAAAGCGCATCAGAGAGACAAGAAGGAAATTCTTAATCGTTGTAGGATTACGAACGAATTAACACTTGTCCATCTCTCTTTGGTCAAAAAAAAAAATGTAAGGCGTATATATATTTGCTTATATCTTGCGCACGCAAGGCTACTCTCACGAAATAAAAACCTGCGTCTCGTGTAAATTTATTTACTGAAGTGAATAATGATAATTTAAAACTAGTTTTTTTTACAACATGCGTTTAGAAAATAATTTTTCCATGGAAATAGAAAAAAAAAAACTAGTAAAACCCCTAGTGTGGTTCGCGACACAGCATTAAATACGCTACACCTCCCTACACGTATTCATGGTAAGACGTTTCAAAATAAGACGTTATATGAGGAGTGGCCAAAAATTGGTCGGATCCGAACTTTTTTCAAGAGCTTTCATCGTTGGCCCAACACACATTGATGTATGAAGTTTTGAAAAATTAAGAAGTATAAATGAAAATAAGAATATAAGGCGGACGGACAGACGGACGGACGAACACAAATACATTCGGAAAGTGCATGCTAATTGTTGCATACATCCGCACAGACTTATTATATCCTTGTGTGACAAATCGTTTACAACATAGAAAGTTGAACTCAAAACATCATTCATTTCAAGCACTTACCTTATAAACTTCGCTACAGGGATCGTTCGCAAACCCTCGCCCTCGCACTGATCACAAAATAGTAATATAATGTTTGGAGCAAATTTTTGTACAAATATTTCCTAAAAAGGTGTAAAGACTTAGAAAATACTTTACATGTTCTATGTAAAGATTCATCCTAAGCCTTTGGTAAGGATTCATACTAAGACTTTTTTTATATTTGTGCAACGGTCTGTCCAGAATTTTTAAATGCCCCGCAATAATTATAGGATATCTTATTTGACTATTTAATATTAAAAAAAAAAAAAACTGTATTTTACTTTTCTACTGAAATGGTTACAATAATTTAGACATTTTTTGATCATTACCTTGAAGTAGGTATAAAAAATTTTATACTTGATATGTGCTTTGGTTATTAATTTAAGCATTTTTCTTACCTTTTTTTGCTTATTTCTTACAGTAAAACGTAAAACTGCTAAAAGCAGAAAAGCAAAAAAGAAAAAATGTTGTTGAAAAAACGACAAAAAGAGATTGAGAGTAAATAAAAGAGAAATAAAAAACCAAAAATGCAACGAATTTAAAGCACTTGCCAAAAAATTGAACATACTGCAAAATCATTTTTCATAATCGTTTTACCCTCAAGCAAATGTGTTTCGCCATATCGTGTAAACGACTGTGACGTCATATATACAGGAAGCGAAAGGACATAATAAACGTAAAGAATTATTATAAGTTTAAGGGCATTGTTGAAGAATTTTTGTTGAAAAGAAATGGAAAGTTGATAATCCATATTCGTCTATTTTCTTATCCTTATTACACATCCGCGAAAAAGGACATTTTTCCACGCCTTACCAAATATTACTTTTCTCTCTTACGATTATATCATATATTAATTAAAAACTTATTTGCATTATAAGAAAAACTTGCAATCTTCACTGGCCGCTTTGAATGAAAACTACTGATCGAGGCATATATATATATATATATATTCTAAGATGAAAAGCACCTCAAATGAATTATTTTTCAAAGTTTATTGCATCGTTTCCTTATGTCATCTTTAAACTTCATTTGGCATAAGGCTTATATTGTTATTAAATATCAGTTAAATTATTTTTCCAAGTCTATGACGTTTAAGAAATATTACATTGCATTACAAAAGATGTAGGAAATTGATTATAAGATCATTAATATAGATGAAATGGATCGCAATAATTTTAAATTATATACCGTAGCAGTTTAAATAACATACAGATAAATGAGTTAAGTAAATAAATATATATAGAGACCTGCGATATGTAATCAAAACAGCAAATAAAAGATTTTTTTTTTTTTGTTTTTATTTCGATTTTTAACTGACACTTAAAACTACAAAGCTACCAATTTCGTGAGTCACATATATATATATATTGTTTGGATTTTTTTCTACTCTCACTATGTTTATTAACATGGATGGATATGGAGAAAGATAAATATTATAAATGTTAACGAGAGTAAAGAAAACGCATCGTCGATGAGACGAATGAAGGGGCTTCATTCGATACGCTTAACATATGAATGAAATTCATGCAAACGTATATTGAGGGGATATGCAAAGTATAGATAGACCTTAGGTAGTGAGAAAATTTTTATGTTTGTGTTGTATATGAGAGTATGCCGATTGTGTATTATCTGTTTATGTGCATTATTTTGTTTTTTTTTTTTTTTTTTTTTGTGGTTATAAAGCCGTTTTGTGTATATGTAACGCTCTCGGCCACAAAGCTTAGGTTAGTTAGGTAATCAGATAGTGCAACAAACTGGCTGGCTGGTTGGTTAGCGCCTGGGTGTGACTTAAAAAAACCCGAGCAATTCAGTTGCTCTACGACACTTTTAAGCTAAGAAACATATTAAAAAAACGTTTAAAAAAGAAGAAAAAAAAAAAAAGCAAAAAACAAAAATGAAATAATGATAATAAAAATAAATCATATAAAAAATGAAAAAGTTTTAAACATAATCAAGAATGTTTAGTTATATAATATGCAAAAATCATTTAGAGAAATAATTTAAAAGAGAAAATTATTAAATATAAAAATTACAAAAAAAATTCTTTAAAATTTTATGAAAAGCATTTCATATAATTTGTAAAAAACCAAAAAAAATAAATAAATTTAATAAAATTATTTAAAAAATGTCTTTAAATCCCAGTGATCGTGCTATGAACACAAATATCACTCAACATCCGTTGCAAGATGTTACGGATTCGCTTTCTTCCGGGGATCGCGTAGATTCGTTGTTGCCACAAAATATTGCCGCAAAATCTTTAAGTAAAGAAAATTGGGTTAAATTTGATGACGACGTCAATGCCAATACAGACGTTTCGGTTAGCGGTGAAAATAAAACGGTTAATTATAATAACAACAGTAACGATAATAGCGATCAGAATACGCGAGAGTCTGAAACTACAAACAGGTTACAAACGCCATCACCAATACCACCACCAATCGCTTCGAAACGCCAAACTGCAGTCAAGGTAAAGCCAGATGTTGTCGGAGACATTCCTACCAACTTAAACTCTCAGAGTAATACAGAAATCAACTCGACCGCAACAATACAGGTAAGAGAGATCTTAACAAATCAAAATCCATAAGAGAATTATTGAAAACTTATCGTATATAACGAACTGAGTCTGAGTGCGCGTACAGTAATTACTCTTTCTTTTGCTCTTCTTTTGCCCTCTACCTCCCGCTCTTTATCTTTGTCTCTTTTTTAGTAAAACTTTTTTTTTTTTTATTATTATTATAAATACCTAACACGTTTCGATCGTAAATATTTTATTTAGCATTCAGTGTCATTTTATTTCAATTCTTTTTTCTACATTCATTTATCCAGTTTCTTAGGGTTTCATAAATAAAAGTTTGTTGTTAAACGCTGTTCTATTGCCAACTGCTTTGAGTCATGGCTTAAAGTTGATTATTCTAGTGATTGAAATTTTTAACTGATTACCTACAGACTTGACGGACATGCTATTTGCGTTAATAGACGCATTTATAATGAACTTGATAATGCGCTTAAAAAGATACTTGAAATGCGCTTTAGATTTTAATAAACAAATTTATAAAATGTTTTTTTTTTTGTTTACATTATTATTATTATTATTATTAATTTAGCTGTAAAGCTGAGATTTGATTGTGGATTCCAATCAAACAAAACATATCATTATTGATTTTTTTGTTTTTTTCTTTAACATAATTTATTATGCGTTTTAAAGCGAATAAGAATATTACTGTTCTTAAAAATTAGGTCTATAACCTAAGCTTGAACTAGAAAATTATAAGCTGCTTGGCAGACAACTAGTTCATGGTGAACAGTTATTAAAGAAGAAAAGAGAAAATCAATAAGTATATAAGAAGAAAATCTGTTTTACATTTAAGTGAAGAAGAAAAGAAAAAATAAAACTAAAATTCTTTGCACAGCCTTACCTACCAACCGCGACACAAACGGCTCCAGCTGTTTTACCTACCGAAAGCATACATGTTAACTTAAATGCATCCGGTAAAACGCAACAACCAAATTCACAACACCAACAACAACAGCATCACAATCAAAAACCAAAAACACCTACAAAGGCAGCTAGTGCAGCTATAGTGTCCTCACACGGCATCACTAATAGCAATAACAACAATAACAGCATTTCCAATAGTCCCAAGCAGTTACAACAACAGCAACAACAACAACAACAACAACATAATCAATTACCACATCTCAGCAACAATGGAACAACTTCATCTACAGCTGTTGTTGCTACAATCAATAATAGCCACAGTAACAATAGCCCGTCAAGGCATGTTACGTTACCCGTGGAATCTCAACCACCAATGCGTACAATTGAATTGTCTACGGGACGTATACGAGAGGGATTTGGTAAGTAGCTTACTACCTCAACAGCCTGTCAATGAAAATATGAGCAACTTCAATTTTGTTGTTACTCGAAGGGACCGTACATGTAAACCGAGTATAGGCTTTCTATAAAAGGAATCTCTAAGTAGCAAAGATAATTTATGCGAATTTTGTCGTTTTCGTTGAAAGTAAAAGGTTTTTGATGCACAGACTTTAAGAAAAGAAAATTGCACCGCGGGTGGTCTTATTCTAGCTTTTTAATTTGATGCTATTACTGTTTGCTTTAATCTCATCAAAGGCTACAAAGATGTAGATAAAATGGATGAAATAGATTTATGCAGAAAGTCTCATTGCTATCTTTAGAAGAAGGAGTTGGTTTTCTATCTATGAGTATTCAAGTAACTTGACTTCGCCATGTGGAAATACCGAATGAAGTGCATACCATACAATTTCGGGGGCGTTTAAATGCGTCGAGCGGGAGTTTTCCTTTGCCTATCTCACTTGAATGATAATATTGATGATGACCATCGGATGCATTACGAACATAAGCCTGAATAATCAGGATATAGGCTGAAGGGAATAAAAAATTAGGATTTGAGAGAATCAATTGGATGTAAAGTACGCTACAACCAACCGCTATTGATAATAAATTATGAACCAATTCTGCTATATGTGAATAGGCATTATAGGTTGATTTTTCACCTTGATTAATACAACAAAACTTGTTCAGAGAATGTTAACAGCGTGGAATTCGACCCTATTCGAATTAACCACTTTCCATTCCGTATTCATCAGATATTGTTCCTTTCAATTATTTCTGCCTTTATTCAGTGATTTACATTCGATTCGAGTAGGGATTCGACTGGCAGGAAAATGCCCGAAAAAAGCATCTCTATGTCTAACGTTCCTTCAAAATGAAATATTTGTAGATGAGATTAGAATTTACCCAAGAGCATTTCCAGTTCTCCTACAATTTGCAGCGAAGCCCAATAGTCTTTTTGGTTATCTCTACTCATTTGCTATCCGCAAAGAAGAAAAAGCTTGGACGTAACATAAAAAGAAAGCGCGTTCCCTTCCCAAGGTTTTTTAAAAACTGCAGTTTATGACAAATATAAACTATTTTAGTTGTTGTAGGCCAATTGATGGTTTAATGGATCAGACGGCACTGACAAACCTTCAGATTAAATATCTGATGAATACCTTTGCATTCTTTGATTGACAGCAGAAGTGCCCAATTTAGAATCGCCTATACAATCTTTCGAACCTCTACAGTGTGTCTGTTTAGATATCGCTTTGTCTTTAATAATCCCTCTGCCCGCCGTTCACTGTTAGTTTCGCTGCAGACGCCTCTATCCGTTCTATCTTTCCAAGTAGCTATCCTTCTTCAGAGGTGCAGACTATCGGAGTCGTGTCTCTTTACGGTGTCTGTTTTCATCCGTGCATACTATCGTCCGTGCCTGCAACTACACCGCTGCCTGTGTTGCTGCTCTTTCACTTTTGCTCATGTTGTTCTCCACGACTCTGTACATATTTTTTTTGTGCCTTTGCTAATCTCCTATTGTGTTCCACTTTCGCTGCCTCTTCTGGTGCCGTTGTCCACTACGCTCTGCGTATTCTCGTACTGTTACTGCCTCTACCCGTATTGTTTTTATGCGGCAGTTCATACCACCTGTCGAGTTTGTTGCCTATTTTTGTTGGGTTAGCTTACAAAAAAACTCTCTTTGGATATTCAAATCAATTCATTCGACACCTAGATCACCTACAGCTGAAAAGGTGCAATAAAATTGTAGATGATCGTAAATTTTGCAAAAATTTCATCAACAACCAATTAGTTGTAGTATAACCGATGAGAACTTGGGGAACTTGAATGAACATTTTAATTAATATTTTCATAACTAAGAAAACAGGTTGACCCATCTACCTGTTAATGCTCAAAAATACGTCTTGGAATTAAATATTGTTTTTATTATACAATTTGATTTGATTTTTTAGCCAATGGAGATATTATTGTTACTTTATTACCTGCCAATACTAAATGGCCTTGGATAACACCGGCGGTATTTCGGCCTGAATTAGTGCCTGAAGAACTCATGGCTCAGGGCTTAACGGTAGGTGACATGTTAATTAAAGTGTTCTCCATTGCTTTTTTAAATTCATGTCTCGCATTTCTCGTCTTACAGCTTACTGTGGAAGAGTATGTGCACGCAATGGAGACTCTAGTAAATGATTACCGTTTTACTGTTTACAACATTTGCTATAAACGTATTTTAGTTTGTTGGATTCTGTTTGCATTCACCGTTCTTTTGACTTTGTTGTTTTCGGGTTTGCAAGGAGTAGCTTTATTCTCTCTGGGTGTCGGATGGTTGTTCCTAAATGCAGCTGCCATTTTCCTATGTATGTGGATTAAGTTGCGTTTGGCCAGAGGTTTGGAGAAATGCTTGGCACGTGTCAATAAACAATTGATTAAGCATAAAATCCTATTGATTTTGGATGATCGTGGTCGTATCTCATGTCACAAAGTCAATTTGTGTTTTTTGTACTTTGACTCAGCGCAATGTGTGAATTTTTTGAATGAATTTCTCGAACAAACTGAACAGAACGGTGGCGAAGCAATTAAAGCTGGCTGGGAGGCAAAATTGGATATTGATTTGAACGATATCGTTATACAGGGCAGTAATCCCGTGCGTTTATCACGCAAACAGGTAAAACTTTTATTCATTTATTTCTCATTTCGGAAAGAAATATTCAACACATAAAAAAAAATCATTTGTTATTAACTTAATCACCATTAGTATCAGTAAAGCAAAATTAATTTACTCTTATACACACGCACACACACACACACACACACACGAAAACACACAGATAAGTGATGCATGTGTGTGATTTTTTTTTTTGTAAATTAAACTAAAAAGAAGAAAAATAAAAATTTGCCTTCAAACATGTCACACATTAAAAATAACTTTACCACTATTCACTCACTGGCTTTAATCATTTAAAGAAATTCACAAAAAAATTTTCTTAGGCCGTCGCTCAAGAATTGTATCTCAGTTATTTGCAACGTTGGGGTAAAGATTTTCTACGACGCCGTCTAGACTGGACGGTACAAGAGGCTGGCGTACACGAAACACCACGGCATTTACAATCGTCCATTTGTCCCTGTCAATACGAGGAGGAAGTATTGCGCAATAAAATTAAATTACATTTACAACGTAAACAATGTTGCGGCATTAATTGCTTAGGATGTTGGCTATAAATCTAAGACAATAAACGACAATAATAATAAGGTTAATGTACACATCACAACAACAAGAACAACAGCAATAACAGAAATGAGTTATATAATTTTTTTGTTTTTTTTTTTTTTTGTTTACATCTCTTTTTATTTAATGTTAATCTTTATAATGTCTAACTTTAAGTGTGAAAAAAATTTGTGAAATTTTCTATAACGAAAAGATAATGCAAAGAACGCATATATTCACATTTACACAAAAATATATGCTTAAAAGATATGTTGTAAACTTTGACAAATTATTTGCTCTCATTAGGTAAACTTCTTGTATGTATTTAATATAATTTTTTTTTCTTTTTGTATATTCTCCGTTTTACTTTTTGTTATTCTATGTGTTTCTTAATATTTTGTTTTTAATCTTAATTGTTTCTCCAACTTTTTTGTTTTATTATTTCTCTCTTTTTAAAGTTTATTATTTTATTTTTTATTTTTTTTGCTCACCACTAAACAATGGAATGTTTATTAGGCTAACATCCCGTTGAGAGAAATGATTTTCGCTAGCAATTCAATGTTTTTTTTGTTAGCCTAAGTGTCCGTCTGCCAGCCGAGACTCGTGATGTGGACTCGATCTGTCTAGCCTTAACCGACTTCAAAGGATCAAGTTTCAATATGAATGCGATACACAAACCAACGCAATAACTGACGACTTTAAATAATCTTGAGCAATAAAGTAGTCATACTTGGGTTTGGAAGACTTTTGCGATATCCCCCATCGTTGTTTGTCCGCCAGGGATTCCTTTCTCACGTTACCATTAAAGAAAAGAATAAAAGGAAGTAAAAATAACTTTGTTCTTATATGCAAATAGGACTCTAACGATACGCGTAGGTAGTCGGACATTATGTGTCGTTGTGGCAAACCGTTATGTGAACCATCTCCGCTGTCTTTCTGAGTTTTAATAAAAAACTTGACGAATCCATTATAGTAAAATAATTTTGCTAATTAAATTTAGCTTTTTATAATAAAAGTTTTCAAGGGCACCCTATAGAAGCACCTAGTTATCGTGGATAACTAGGATTTTGCTATTGATCCTGCAATGATATCATTTTTTTTTTACTGACTATTTGTTCAGGGAACGACACTATTCCCGTAACCTAGTGACAGGCAGAAAGAAATGAGGAAAGAGAACGAAAGAAACAGGTATGGAGATGGAGACCACAGCCTGATGGATGAGTGCCCAATCGATAAATGTAATGCATTTACCGACTGACCACTCATTGTAGCTACGACCACAGCAAATTCTACCGCGCCGAGATATGAACCGGCGTACACTGAGTTGTTATTTTTGTCAAGACGTCTATAGTTTATCAAATCCAAGAACGAGATAGGAGTACATTAGTCAGGTTATCCATCTAAAGTATTTTCTCAACCAATGCGAAGTGTTTAACTTGAAGCTTCAGACGAAGAATATTACAAATTCGAACTGTATTTACTTACCACATAGATGAAATCATGAGCACAAATAAATCAATCTGAGGATTCACAAGCAGTTGTTAAAGAAGAATAATTTTTCTCCTTCGTAATACAGTGGATTTTCAAAGCTTTGCTCAGAATTTTAAATTGTGTCGTAAATTTCTCCCTTTCAAGTTCAAAAACTCGCTTAGGGACGCGGCCATAAATAAGAAAAGAAATCTTACATGGAGACAAGGTAGCAACTCTACCTTTCAATTTGTACGTTTGTGGAAATGAATTCTCAGTTTGTATTTATCCTTAGGGGTACAAAATGTGTTACAATGTAATCTGAAGCATTGTCTATCCGTATATCGTACGTTGTCTTTCAAAGGTTGCCATTCACTAGAAAGCATTAAACGTTCGTTATAATTACAACATTTTTCCGCGTTTCAAGTTTAGTTTCTGTCTTGATTTATTTTATTATTTATATTTTACTTTATCCTTTTTATTTTACACTCTTTTATTTAGTTATATTTTTCGAACAACTATCTAATCTTTTATGTATTAAGCAATGAGTGGTGAGTATCGTAAATACGGATTAATAAATAATTTTTAAAATTACTTTTATACTAAGTGTAATCATTCTCGTAACATATTTGAAAACGTACTTAAGTATTCTGCCTGTTTTGTGAAAAGAAGATAATAACAGTAGTGAGCGTATCTTGGCTTTCAAAATCATTTCGACTTAACAACAAATAGAAACATGCAATTTAAAGCATCTCTCAGCATTTCAATAACAATTATCATTCATAGTAATAATTTTTCGATGTTACTGTTTTTCTCTGTTTTTTTTTTTTTTTCGTTTTTTTTAAATAATTTGCGTATAATTAAATAATTTATTTTATCAAACAAAACACGAAAACATTTCAGGAACGTGGAGTGCAGCTGTATTTACGTTATGCCTCGCGTTGGGGTATGGAAGCATTGCGTGGCTTAGTGGACATAACGCCATTGGAGCCGGGACGTCATTGCGGTCAATTTCAGTGCCCTTGTCAGTATATTAAAGAACACTTACAATGCAAACCAAGAGGCAAGTTGAAATGTTTCAATTTTGTTTACTGGGTGTTGGCATCAGAGCGCTATGATTGATATTGTAATTTTTTTTTTTTTTTTTTTTTTTTTTTGTTCTTTAATAACTCATTATTTATGCACTTTAATGGAAATTCATTTAGTTCTAAAATTCATTATTTCTGAAAATCAATATTTTTTTTATAGCTCTATTTTTTTTTTCGTGTTTTTTTGCTTTTTGAAATTTTTATTCCCCACCAACACCCAAAATCAACCCAAATCAACCCCTATTTGCACTGTATTGTGTTCACAAAATAGTTGTTTTAAATAATGTAGGACAAGTTGTTTGGACACGTTCTTCTGTTTTTGGCAATTAAATTTCCGTTTTTTTTTTTCCTACGCATCTATATATATATATATATAATTGTTTGATTCGAATTCTGTACATTTTTATCTGTGCATAGAGAGAGAAATTTTTTCCCTATAAAGTTTGCTGTTTGCTAAATAAATTATATTTTGAAATAAAGTTTAATTATGTTTTATAAAAAAATTGTCCATGAGAATCGCAATTATTGTTTTATTTTTGGATTTTGTACTCTTTTTGATTTTATTTTTTGTTATAGGTTTTCCTTGCAATTGTATTGTTTATGGCTCGGATCCTCACTTTCAATATCGTTACTAGGCTTTAAAGAATTTTTTTAATTAGTTTACCAACAGTTAGTTCTATACAATATATAAATACAATCAATAAAAAAAAAAAAATATATATATATATATATATTTTTGTTAAAAATATGAAAATTGACTTTAATTTCTTATGAAAATGAAAGACGCACTCACTGTGTACAAAAAATCCGGAATTGTTAAGTAAACTTAAAATTGTTTATCTTCTAACCGCCTACAGAGTTGGTTCAGTATTTTTTTTTTTTTATTTTTTTTGGAATATGTTTAAAGGACGGCTTTCAACTTCTTTCGTGCATTTTTTACTTTAATTTTAAATGAATTAAATCGTCTCTCTCGAAGTGTTCAACGTCGGATGCATGAAAAATCAAACTGATTTAAACAATGAGTCCGGATTTTTCGTTACAAATTTTTAGACACGATATTCGTTCTGCAGGAAAGCATTTTAGAATCTATTTAACCATTGGAGCCAGAAGATTTGCCTTTGAGTTTGTTGACGTGTTTGTTGCTTAAAACCATTTAACCTTAGTTGGACCACCGCACGGTGTAGAACGAAATCCCGCGTCTTGACCCAACATTTGGGAAGACGCGTTTTATGAGTGATGAATTATGAATTATGAATGATGAATTACTATGTATGTGTAATGTATGTTGTAAATAATTTTTTAAGCTTAAAAATGGAACCATTGCCTTCAAATTTGACAGAAACGTGAGGGGTTTTTGTACGCAGGTTTGTAAATCGATCAAAGGGCAAAGGGCGGCTACAGTGCTACACTACAATTAGCATACCCTAAAAATGTCCACTCTCTTCTAAAAAAATTGAAATGATCAATATTATGGAATGAAAAATTCCCCTTTTTGGTAGTCGTTTTTAGGATAAAGGCGGTATATATATATAAAAGATTCGATTATAGCTGACTATAGTTTTCTAGCACTACAGTATGACACGGCACACCTTTAAATATCCTACTCCACCCCACAGAAACCCTTATGTCAGCTTTTCAAAATAAGGCATTATAAGGGAAATGGTCGAAAAAGTGATCCAATCCGAAACATTTTGAGTAGTGTTCGCCAAATGTTGTCAGAGTATCTCGGAAATGGTGGCCTGTAGGTTGAACCAAAGAAAGCATAGCAGGCAGACGGATAAATAAGCTTAGATTGATTCTGAAAATGATTCTGAATCGATCGGTATAATAAAAGGTGAGTCTATCAAACTTAATATATCCTTGTACTACAGGTGGTGTAGGGTATACATATATATATATATATACATATATACATATATATATGAACTGTGTATAATGTTTTATGTTTATATATAGCTAGTTGGCATAAGTAAAGGAATTTAGACGATACAGAACTTCCTGTTCTTGCTATGGGATTCGTTTCTGACTGTGAAACTCTGAGACTCGCCGCGGTATAACTCGTTATAAAACCTAGTGACCCGTTTGGAGTTAGGATCGATTAGCATTATTTGAATCAAATACCATTTCCTCGGGTTTACAATTGATGTTACATCATATTGTGGCTGTATCCATAAGGCAAGTACTCTTGCATTGCTTCAATTAGATCGAATTTTTCCTCTTCAATCCTAAGACGAACTGTTTCTGCTTAAACAGTTTAAAGATGCACTTTAAGTTTAGTTATGCTACCAACATATTGTTGAATCGATATTTCCACACATGCCTTTAAAATTATGAATTCCGTTTTCCATATGTACATGACGGGTTTCGTAAATATATGTATTCGCGGCGTTCTTGGCTACCGTGAATACCACATGCATGCGCTTGTTTGTATATACAAATAATTGATATCGTTTACTTCTTTGTGCTTATTAAGCGTTAAGCGTTCAAAGTCGAACATGTGTGCGCATCAAGTTCTTTTTTCCGCAACATTTCTCAGCAATTAATTATCAATTAATATCTTCACTTGCAGTAACTTTTGCAATAGTATTGAACACATTATAACATTATCGCTACCGTCATCGTATATCTATCTAATCATAAAGCCAACTAGTTAGGAAGCCAGCAATATTTCATATGCAAGGACAGAAAGACTTTTCAGTATGTGATGTGCATAAAATGTGCCCAATTTACTAAGAAAACTGCATTGAACTTCTAATACGGGGGGGAGAAAAGCAAGCCAAAAAACTGTAGAAAACATGCGAGAGAGAGAAAGATAAAGAAAGAAAAAAAAGTAAAAAAATGAAAAAATAAAATCAGCAAAATGCAATTTAAAATCAATTTGGCGCTGTTGCTGAATTTGCGTCTTTTTTTGTGGGTAATTTGCTAGAAAATATCAAGAAATACAAAAATTAGAAAAAAAAAGAAAGAGGAGAGTAAAAGTTGAAAAAATTATATATGCCCTACAGGGATATTTTCAATGCTGGACTTGTCTACTTTTTCTCATCAGGATCAAAATAAACTTTGTACACGTTCGGGCAATGTAATGTCTTCGAGCGTTACGTTAATTACGAATAAGTTTTCAAAGCTCAGAACAGAAAAAAATATTTATTATACCAGTATATATTAAAGATGGATACTGTGGCTATGGTTACTAACACAAGGAAATATTTAATATACCATCATATACTGCAAAAGATGGGCATAAATAAAACTATATATTTTAAGTAGGAGCAGATAAAAAAGCAGAACCTGAAAATTAAGTGCGAAAAGGAAAATATTAAAATAAATGTTGTACAAGAAGCCTAGCCAGAACTCTCGAGGGAAAGAAACTAGAAAAAAGAAGATGAAATGAAAACAAAGGGAAAAGAAAAGAAATTTCAGCCTCGTTTTTGTATTTCGATAAGACACAGAATTGCATAAATCTAAAGAGTAACCCCCTCCTGCATTCCGTATGAAAAATAAGCACAAGACTACTGTTGTAAACCGTTGAACAACAAAAAGCATAAGACCCCTTCACAGGAAAAGGTTGCCATTTGCATTTAACACCATGTAACCGAATTTTTTTGGTTATTCTTATTCTCATTCGCTGCTTGTGTCGTTGATAAACATAATGGCACAAAACCAAAGACCACATTTGTCAAAGCTGGAATTTTTTTTCATATTTTCTTTACATATATATATTTTTGTTTTCAAATACAATAATTTTTGTGAAGACATTCGCTTGCTATTATCGCCATGGTTTTCCCTTTTTCAACGAATTTTCCAAATTTAATTTGATATATATATATATATATATAAATTTTAAATATATGTATTTATATTCATGCAGAAATTGTACGCTTTCAGACTACTAAGGCAGGAGACATTTATTATTGGGCTTGCGGAATATTTGTCATGCTTACGTACAAGTTAGTGTAAATGGATGATCGGTGTGAATAACGGAAGCGATTCAATCAATTCCATCCGTTTCTTAGTTGCTTAACCGTAATCGGATCACGTGTATTTACGCTTCTTATGAGAATCATGGGAATAATTAAATATGACTGACTGCCTTGTCTATAGTTTAATGTCATTTAGTGCTCAAAACAAGCAACATAACCTACCGCTTTATCGTAACATAAATAAAATATTAAAATTTCGTACTCTCCAATGTTGAATTTGCGTGGTTTCCATTTTTGCTGGATGGCCGAGGAAATTTTCACCATGCGTTTACCGCTGTTCATAAGTAAAAACCAAAATTCCAGAAAGCAGAGCTGTAGACGCATTCTTGTAATGATTTGGTCCGTTTTCAAAATTTTTTTGCCATCAAATTTATGTAAAAATATGATGAATTCGTTCGACTTTTAAAAATAAATTTTACGCTAAGTATTATTAAATACTACATACTACTATAAAGTAGGTAACCACAAAACAACAAAAAGGAAAAAAAAACATGTACGCAGAGGCACACCCACAGTCAATATGGAGCAAGTTAGAAGCCTAAGCCGTTGCGAATGTGAGAAAGCTTCTCAATGGTTAAATAGCGAACATATTTCATTTAATTTATCTATCACACAAAGATTTAATGATAAAAATTTAATTCAGTGACGACATAGGCAAAGCTCGCATATCCAGGAAAGTTGAATTGATAGAGTTTCAAGAATTTCATATTGGGATTAAATTAAAGATATCATTAATATCGGATTTATGTAAAGAAGCTCAAAGGGATTGAATGACGGTAAGGCTAACATTTTAAGGTGATATCCACACTTTCGCGAACAGAAGAATATCCGTTTATCACATATATTATACTTACGGGTTTGCTTAGGTGTATTCTGAATTTGAAATTGAGGTTGTCTCAGTTCTGTTCAATACTCAACTCTATAAAAAAACTATCAATATTTCTGCCAGATTTAAAGTCAATAATTTCTTTGTTATGGTCAGGAGGATATTTACAACAGACATTGTGCAGATGGGCAGACAGGCATGCATAAACCGAATAAGAGTTTGAATATATAATGTATACACACTTTGGGAGGACACTGAAGCTTCCTTCTGAACGATGAAAAACTTTTGGCAAAATGAGTATACCTTCCAATCCTTAACAGCGAATGTATAAATAGGTCCACAGGCTAAGTACGGTTACTTAACTAAATTATTACAGCGATGCTTGGCATACTTCAATTTTCATCACATTCTGTTTTATCGGTTTTTTCTTCTTACCTAAAAGTTACGTGCCATTTAAATTTAAGGCAAGCAGTGTAAACCTGAACAAATTTTTTTTTAAAGAAAATTTGAACAGAAAATCACTTCTTTTTTTTTTTATTTTATGAATTTCCTATTTTTTTATTATAATCAAATATTTTAAAAGGAAGACGTTGATTTTTACCTTATCCTTCGAAACGCGCTTGCATTTGCAAATGTAAGTATACATGCATACCAAACTGTGATGTACGTAATGTAAAACCTTATGGCAAAATAAGTCGCAAAGTGCATTT